AAGGCTAACCCCTCTACCTGTTTAAGAGAATCCATTCTATCCTATCTCCTCCAACAAATTGCCTCTTCTGCCATTCAGCTTTAAACTTAATCTCTCCCTATCTACTACTCTTTCCCTACTGCCTACAAACATTCTGATGTCTCCTCTAACCTGAAAAAAGACTAACGTGATCCTTTGACCCCACGTTGTCCTATAACTCTTTTGCCCTGTGTAGCTAAACTCCTCAAAAAGGCCATATACAATACATGCCTCCATTTTCTCTCCTCTCATTCTCTTTTTTCTAAATTATTTCTTAAATACTAAAACAAATACACAAGAAGAGAAGGAAACATACTATAAACTTAAACAAAAATAAGAAAAGAAAAAAAGCATTGCCATGTGCACAGCAGAATGTAAGAGAGGATTCAAAATATATAGCACTAAATTTCCATTTCATTCCTCTCACTCTCTTCTAGCCCCTTACAATCTTGTTTCCAACCTTATTATTCCATAAGAACTGCTCACTCCAAAGTTACCAGTGGTCTCTTAGTTGACAAATCCAGTGGCCTTTTCTTAATTCTCATTCCCCTTGACCACTGACACCACTGATCATCTTCTTCTTCTCGATTCTTTCTCCTCTCTGGATTTTTGGAACACTACTCTGTCCTGCCTCTCATCCTCCCAATTTGACCACTCCTCCTTTGTCTCCTTTGCTGGATCTTTCTTCAGATCATGTCTTCAAGGTAGGTATACCTCAAGATTCTGTCCTGGGCACTTTCCTCTTCTCATTCTATACTACTTCACTTGGTGATCTCAGCAACTCTCATGAATTTAATTACCATGTCTTTGTGGATGGTTCTCAAAAAACCCTATGCTGCCTCAGTCTCTCTGTTGACCTCCACCCTCACATCTCCAACTGCTCTTTAGGCAATTGGGGTTAAGTGACTTGCCCAGGGTCACACAGCTAGTCAGTGTCAAGTGTTTGGTCTGAGGCCAGATTTGAACTCAGGTCCTCCTGACCAGGGCCGGTGCTTTATCCACTGCACCACCTAGCTGCCCCTCATGTATATCTGTTTAAAATAGTTTCACTTTTATTATTTTCAATTGAGGGAGGTAGAAGAAAATAAATGCTTGTTAGTTGAAAAATTAAATAAAAAAAACCCTAAGTTCCTTATTTTCCCTTTCAACTGCTCTTTTTTTCACTCCATAATTTCTTTCTAAAAAATTTCAGTTTTTCCCAATTACATATAAAAACAATTTTTAACATTTTTTAAAATTTTGAGTTCCAAATTCTCTCCTCCCTTTCCTCTCCTCTCCCCTCATTGAGAAGGCAAGCTATTTGATATTGATTATACATGTGTAATCATGTAAAATGGACTTCCATATTTGAGTTCATAATTTCTATCACCATCAGTCACATGGTTTCCAATGCCTGGCACATAATACTTCTTGAATAAATGCTTGATTGACTGACTGAATTGGGTTTGTCTTTCACTTTTTCCTCTGCATCACTGCTCATCCATTCAGTATCATCAATTCCATCTTTAGAACGTTTCTTCCCTTTCATATTTCCCATCCTACTTGGTTTTGTGACTCTCTAATGTCCTTATTGAGCCAGCTTCAAAGGCTCCAGATATCCAGTTATTAAATTTTCAATGTGAGCATTTACTGTTCAAAAATCCACAAACACTACAAATCATGACTCGAATGATTGTTTTGTCCATTGTCTGGATAGACTTAAGAAAGTGTTGGGGGAAATGTTAATAAAGCATATTAAACTTTAAAATTTTTTTAGAGGCAGCTAGGTGGTACAGTGCACAGTGCCTGAAGTCAGGAGGACCTGAGTTCAAATTCAGCCTCAGACCAAACACTTGACGCTTACTAGCTGTGTGACCTTGGGCAAGTCACTTAACCCCAATTGCCTAAAAGAAAAATGAAAAATTTGTTTTTTTTTTATTCTGAACTTAAGAAATAAAACAAGAATTTCCATAACATAGTAGAATAGGGGGAAAAAAAGATGATTATACATAAAACTGCAAATCTATCATGCAGATTAAACTTAAAAGTGTGTCATGGCATACATTTGTCAAACATTTAGGTCACTTTGGATAAACTTCGTATCTATCTCCCCAAGCACCTTGGAATACTGCTTTGTACGTAGTACTTCCAAAAATGTGTTCTCTTTCTCTGACTTCCTTAATTTTTTTTTCTGTGTTGTAAGACTTCCCCCTTCCTTCTTTCCTTCCATCCAAATCTTAAACTATTCTTTCTCATGACCTAAAATAGTACCAGAAAGAAAATGGTGGCTTTCATTTTGGGTGTTCAGGATCATTGATGCTAGTTGTTATGGAAATATAGAAAATGGGGGAGGGGGGACAGAGATGACCACAATTTTTCTTTTTCTATATTTTTATGATACTTTGTTTTTATCTTCATTTTTTAATACATCTCTCCTCACACCCCACCTACATCCATCATATCTAAAAGCAAATGGAACATTCCACATCCATGGTCCTTCATCTCTGCAAAAAGGAGCAGAGTTCATAGAACTCACAAGGTCCACCCACCTCGTTTTACCTATGAAGAAACCCAGTCCGTAACTCTACCCAAAAAACTGGTGGAAGAATTGGGAATTCTAATTCAGATCCTGTCGCTCCCAAGTTCTGCCCTCTTTCCGTTCGACACTGTAAACTTTGGATCCGACTCCTGGGCACTGCCGGCCTGGCACTGCCCGCCGGGCGCGGGGATTGGCCACAAAGCCCCTTTATTGTGGGCCACCTGCGTCAGCGGCCGGGCAGGACCCCGGGCAGCGCCCCGGGCTGCGACCCTGCTGGAGGAGCTGTCCCGCAGAACCTGTTTTAGTGAGGGAGCGGGTGCGCGGGCGTCAGGGCTGAACAGAACCGGCCTGATGCCTCCGCCTACCGGGCGCTGAGGACCGGGCCATCCCCTTTGGAAGGAGACCCCCGAGAAGGCGAACATCGGTAGGGAAGCTGTGGCAGGCTGGTTCAGGGGTCCGTGTGTGTCCGTGTGTGTGTGTGTGTGTGTGTGTGTGTGTGTGTGTGTGCGTGCGTGTGTGTGCGTGCGTGTATGTGTGTGTGTGTGTGCGTGTGTGTGCGTGTGCGTGTGTGTGCACACCAGTGCCCGGTGAGGGGTCAGAAAGGTGGATCATGGACTGCTGCGGGGCCAAGAAGAATGGGAGTGGGGAACAGAGGAAGGGGAGGCTAGGGCTCAGGTAAATGCTGCGAGAAATTCAGGAGCCGTAAGCTCACAATTGCTTTTGTTCCAGTGAAGATCCTGCCTCCAAAACAACCCAAAAACAATTCAAGAAAACTTCATTTAGTAAATTTCCTTAGGAAGGAAAGAGATTGGGTTCTAGAAAGTGTATCCCTTTAAAGTCAAATCTGAGAGCAATAGGTAGAAATTGAAGTTTTCTTTCCATGTATGGGAAAATTTCTTTGGAATTAGACTTTTCCCCAAAGTGAGATGTGCTGCTTTGGAAGGTACACTAGTGCTCTTTAAGATGGTCACACCATTCGTCTGGATGTCATAGAAAATAAGTGTGAAAAAATTCTTTAAAATTTGAGACTTGTGATTCTTCCAAAGAGCCCAGTTTTTACATTAAGAAACAACCTCAGGCAGCTGGGTGGCACATTGCACAGAAACCTGAGTTCAAATGCAGCCTCAGACACTTACTAGCTGTATGACCCTGGGCAAGTCACTTAACTGATTGCCAGAAGAAGAAGAAGAAGAAGAAGAAGAAGAAGAAGAAGAAGAAGAAG